AGGTTGCCTACTGCTAGTCTAGGAGGTATATTTGAAAGTAATGTATATTAGTGTAAATAACATCTAAATTCACAAGCATGCAGCTTCATTCCATATGTGGTGACATCACAAGTTCTTTTTAGACTATGTATGATGATCTGGACATGTAAGAGCTGGGAGGGTTTCCTGCTTGTTCACACTGTAGGGAGCAAAGTGGAGCTGTGACAAGATATCTCACTGCTGGAGAAAAAGGTGAGTAACTTATTTTATTTTCTATTTATTTTAATTGAAATAGCAGGGGGATGGTGTGTTAGGGGGATAAATGTGAAGCACAAAGGAATACTCTACCATTAGAAATGAATATGTTTATTTTAACATAACAGTGTTCCTTTGATGTATATTTATTTTCTTCACAGGTGCAAACTGGCAAATTGCCGCAGTTGCAAGCCAGCCTCTCATCTCTACAAACATAAGTATGTGTCTTCTATGTACGTGCCAGTCCAAATACAATAAGGCACCCTATCCCTATTTTGCCTAAGCTTGACAAGATGGACTCTGCTTTTGTTAGACTTTAGTCCTACCTACCTAGTCATTACAGGTCATAACATTTGGTTGTCTTCCTATCAACAACTGAACACCAGTCTTAAGTAAAACAATGCAAAATAAATATACATTTATTGACAGACAAAGTGATTTTATTCCACATACTATCTGTATCATCCCATCTTTTACTTCTCCTCTGTTCACCACTTTTACTTTCTGTTCACTGTTCACCACCCTTTCACTCACAGGCAGCTCATAATTTACATTATGTAACCACAATGTACCTTTTCTCTTAGTAGATTTGGATATTTCATGTAAACCCATTCCAAGACGGGTGGATGACTTCAAGAATTGTAGATACAATACGATAGATGAGGCTTGAAAGATTATTCACTAAACTCTGAATTATCTTGAATTAAATCCAAATGGGAGGACAAAAAAATGATCTGGAGAAATTTTACCCCTCAGCCATAGTTGATGGTTTAGTAAATGTGTCATGGACCCTGGCTCGACCGTGCCGACGAACTGAGCCTACCTGCTCGGGGGCGAGTCGGGAGCCGCTCCGCCGGATCCTCCTGGCCACCTGCCCTGAAGAAATATGGCGCCGACCATGCAGTCGCTGCCATATATAGCCCCGCCTCCCAGGGTCACACGAATGTGTTTGTGACGTCACAACGTCGATGCACACGCATGTTCTGGGGTCAGAGGTCACCCTCTGACCAATCACAGCCAAAGGAGGGATGTTTAAATCCCTGACGTTCCCTTGTTCATTGCCCTGTCGTGGTTTCCGTTCCTGGTTCCCGAGAGTGCGTTTTCTGGTCCTGTTTTTGATATTCCTGGTATTTTGACCTTGGCTATACATGACTATTCTGCTTTAGGATTTCCCTGACTTGGCTTGTTTAACGATGTGTATTTCTGGTTTCCTTGATCTTGGCTATCCATTGACCATTCTCTGTCTTTAACTTATTATTCTGGCCATTTTAAGGGCCGGTTTACGTTCTATCCTTTTCTGTTCTATCTATGTAGACGTTACATAGTTCTGCATGCTGGACCAAACTAGCAGTCGAGGCAAAAATTTATATTTACAATGCAGCATCCTAGAAGTTAATGTGCTTCTAAACTGGTGCTAGCAATTTAGAAATATCCTTTTCTTGTTTCAACATGACAAATCTTCCTACATAAGGAAATGTTCATACAGAAATGGTTTGTTTGGTCGGTGCTGCTGGTCAACGTGTAAGAACCTGACTGGTCTGTACGGAGCACTGACCAAAACCTTAGCAACACCACTGGAAATAAATTGGAGCAAGAAGGAAAGTTTGGCTGGAGGGTTAAGAGAAGATTGAGTGAGAGCAAGGAAATTACTTGTGTGACAAATAACTCTTAAATAACAATGCTTGCATAACTTTTTCTCCTATACACTACATTCTCAGTGGATATGCAAATCTGTAGCCCTTTTGCACAAAGCTATATGTATTTTTAGTGACTTAATTAAAAAAGAAAAGAAAATGATTACTGGTTTGTAAATGTGGGAAATTTAAAGCACCAGTATCAGATATAAAAATCAAGGAATGTTGGGAAAATATTGGATGATTGGATTTCAGGATAAGCCATATAAAGCAGTTATTGATAAATGTTAACTGAGTGATGAGACAAAGAAAACACAAAGTGATAATGAAAACTCGCCGTGACCTGAATCTTGAGGCATTATGAAAATCATATTAACCAGGACATTTTTATTTTTATAAAATAACATTTAACTTCTGTATTTAAACCATTTTCCTTTTCTGTGTGAGTTAATGAATGTAATGTATTTGTTCATCTCAGTGTTTGGTGACAATTTAATTACAAAAGCCTGTGTTTTTTGAGGACAACACCTTAAACATGCTTTTCAATTGCATTCTAGCTACAACCATGTGTCTAAAAGTCTTTTGAGGACAGTATAAATGCAGACAGAAGTCAGACCGCAATTATGTGTGTTATCTCCATTAGTTAATGCATTACTATTACACACAGGGCAGTCTGTAAAAGTCAAATTTCATTCATTTCTTATTAGTTAGTTTACTTAACTTCAAGAAAAACAGAACAGAATATATCAGGCCCTGTAAACACAAAGCAGTTAGACCAAGTTTTTTATATAAAAAATAAATATATATAAAATTGTTTATATATATATATATATATATAAATAATTCTGAAACAGGTTGTCTCACATGACCTTAAATGACTCTGTACCAAAGTAACTTTTATAAGGCTTAAGCTTATATTAGATACTCTTCAGTAGTTAAATGACAGGAGGGCACTAGGTTTACTCATATATTTATATTTTATTTCCTTTTTAGATTTCTATTTTTAGGCATAAGTGTTCAAACTCTGCCTCGCAGTGCTATACTTGCAAAGAATAAAATGTAATCTTATGATTTACGATACATTCAGTTTAAACTTGGTGGTTAACACGTGTTTGTCCGAAGAGTGTATGGGTGGGCCAAGTGTTAAAGATTGGGAAAGAAGCTAATTATGCACACCCCTACTCATTACCACAGCAATTGAAAGGGCGTAAGCAAGCAGAACATAGACACAGCAAGGTAGAAATACATTGTTATTATTATTCTCATTATATATTATCATTATCATTATTATTGGCATTTATATAGTGCCAGCTTACTCTGCAGTGCTTTGCAATATTATAGGAGGGGGAAATTTAACAATAAATGAGACAATTACAAAATGTTATAGGAATAATAGGTCAAACAAGCTTACAATCTAGAGGAAATGGGGTATAAAAACACAATAGGAAGGGCATCAAGGGAAATCGATATCAAATGACTAGGTGGGAAAATAGCAGAACAGGAAGGTGAGAGTGGAGTGTGGCCCTTTAAGAAAGAGCAAGAGACAGGTTTGAGGAATAGAAGTTACTCTGTGAGGCCATAAACTTTTCTGAAGAGATGGGTTTTGAGGGACCTCTTTAATGATTGAAGACTTGGGGAAAGTCTGATGGGGATAGGGGGGCTATTCCAAAGGAAAGGACCCCCCCCCCCCACGAGATGTCCTGCAAGCGTGAATTATCAGTAAGCAGCGGACAGGCAAAGGCCAGTGGTAGAGTGGAGAGACTGACAAGGGGTGTAGCTATGGTTTAGTGAAGAAATGTAACATTGGCTAGATTTGTTAAGAGCTTTACTAGGTAATGGTTGATATTTTTAATTGACTATTACAGGATATAGGGAGCCAATGTAAGGATTGACAGAGGGGTGAAATATGAGAGGAGCGACATGAGAGAAAAATCAGTCTGGCATCAGCATTTATTACAGACTGTAGCCAGACAGTACAGCTCCTGGGGAGACCAATTAGGAGATAATTAAGTTCCTTAGCAACATCTTGTGTAAGAAAAGAGCGGATGCGGGTAATGTTTTTAAAGTGGAATCGTCAGAATGTGGCAACAAACTGGACATGAGGAGTAAGGATGAGGCCATAATCATATATAACACCAAGACAGCGAGTTTGCAAGGACAGGCTCATGCAGGTACCATCAACTTTCAGGGAGAGCTCAAAAGGAGGATTTGTATTATGAGGAGGAAAAATAAGATGCTCAGTTTTAGAGAGATTGAGTTTCAGACAGCGGGAGGATGTGCAATCATAGATGGAAGTAAGGCAACCAGTGACATAGAAACATAGAATGTGACGGCAGATAAGAACCATTCGGCCCATCTAGTCTGCCCAATTTTCTAAATACTTTCATTAGTCCCTGCCTTATGTTATAGTTAGGATAGCCTTATGCCTATCCCATGCATGCTTAAACTCCTTTACTGTGTTAACCTCTACCACTTCAGCTGGAAGGTTATTCCATGCATATTCCATGCATCCACTACCCTCTCAGTAAAGTAATACTTCCTGATATTATTTTTAAACCTTTGCCCCTCTCCCTATACAACCAAGCATTCTGCTAGCATTTCCTGCTGCTCTATTACATTGTCTGCCTACCTTTAAGTCATCAGAAATAATCACCCCTAAATCCCTTTCCTCAGATGTTGAGGTTAAGACTCTATCAAATATTCTGTACTCTGCCCTTGGGTTTTTACGTCCAAGATGCATTATCTTGCACTTATCCACATTAAATGTCAGTTGCCACAACTCTGACATGTTCTAAGACAGCAATAGATAGAGAGACCAGGGGAGGAGAGATATATCTGGGTGTCATTGACATACAGGTGGTAGCAGAATCCAAAGTTTTAATATATTTGCCAAGAGAGGCTGTATAAAGAGAAAACAAAAGTGGACACAGAACAGAGTTTTGGGCCACTCTGTCACATATTCATCCACTTATAGAAATGTGGTTAATGACATTTACTGTCCACACAGGAAAAGTTGTGCCGAGCAGCAACCTAATCCACAGAAGGGTTAATGCTGAGCAGTAATTGTGCAAATGAAACCTGGTGTCATGTATTCATCCACTTAGAGAAAAGTGATTAATGTCATTTACTGTCCACACAGGAAAAGTTGTGCCGAGCAGCAACCTAATCCCCAGAAGGGTTAATGCTGAGCAGCAATTATGCAAATGAAACCTGGTAACTGACTTTGGGGTCAAAGGCCGGTTACAGCCTATCAGAACTAAAGGAGGGGTATTTAGGCCCAGTTCTCAGCCTGCTCAGTGCCCTGTCGTGGTTTCCCTTGTGGTTGTCTGAGAGCGCGTTCCTGTTTATAGTTTTCTACCTGGTTTTTGACTTTGGCTTTGTTTATTGACTTCTCTATATTCTGGTATCCTGACTCCTGGCTTTCCTCATCGCTGTGTCCCTTTCTGTGTTCCCTGACCTCGGCTAGTATTTTTGACTATTCTTTGTACGTTAAATCCGGCCATTCTAAGGACCGGTAATACGTTACTTATTTGTCATCCGTGCTGTACAGTTCTACGTGCTGGATCAAACAGTAATCCTGACATTACGACATGGCCATAGATCCTGTAGAACTGTGTCAGCACATAGCTGCTTGCGAGAGGAAATTAGAGGAGAATGATCACCGCATGGATCAATTCACTCAGGCTTTAAGTACGCTTCTCGCTAGAACGGAGCATCTGCAGCCTGCAGCGTCTCCTCCTATAGCACCTCTACCCTGTGTACCTCCACCCACTGTTAATAGGACTCCTTGCATCTCCTTATCACCATCCCTACAGTTTGATGGCAATATCCAGGAATGCAGGGGTTTTCTTAATCAGGTGGAGTACCATTTTGATGCCTCACCAGGGTCATTCCCCACGGACAGAGCAAGAATTGGTTATCTAATGAATCAATTAAAGGGCAAGGCCCTTGCCTGGGCTAATCCGTTGTGGGAGAGTAATCGGAGCATAGCTCATAATTACCAGGAATTCCTTGCCGAATTCAAGCTCACGTTTGAGCCATTGGGTAGAGAGGATGACGCCTCCACTGCCCTAATGCACATCAGACAAGGTAACCGGTCTATCTCGGATTATGCTATTGAATTCCGTACCTTAGCTTCCGAGGTAGACTGGACTAACAATGGGTTAATCTCAGCATTCAAAAAGGGTCTCTCAGAGACTATACTAGATGAGATAGCCGCTAAAGAATTACCTAAGAGTCTTAACGAATTTATTACGTTTGTCATGCATATTGATAATAGGTTAAGACTCAGAGAAGTCACCAGAAGCAAGACCAGATGTACGGCTATGTCCCTAGCACCTCAATTCTCTAAACCTGTTTTGTCTAACCTCCCTGTACAGTCCGAACCCGAACCTATGCAGTTGGGGGTCACTAGACTGTCAGAGGCCGAAAAACAGTATAGGAGAAGGGAGGGGTTATGCCTATATTGCGGTAGAAAGGGACATATGATAACTAATTGTCCAGTGCGTCCGGAAAACTTCCGCACCTAAGAACCTTAAGGGGACAGATCTTAGGTGTGATGGAGTTGTCCTCTAACAAAAACAAAAGTAGATTCCTCCTTGAGGTATCTATTTCCCTTGATAACAAGAAGTTTTCTTGCAGTGCCCTAATGGACTCAGGTGCTGCTGGAAATTTTATTGATGTCCAGTTTATTAGGGGTAATGAGATACCGGTCAGGGAGAGACCTACGCCGCTAGCTGTAGAGGCTATTGATGGTAGACCACTCACACAACCGCTTATAACCCACGAAACTGTCCCTATTACGATCTCCATTGGGGCCTCCCATAGGGAGGAGATGACGTTTCAGGTTATTACTTCTCCATCATGTCCTATCATATTAGGGTTTCCGTGGCTGAGTAAGCACAATCCCTATATTGACTGGGCTAATGGGGAGATATTAGAATGGGGTAAAGAGTGTATGGGGAGATGTATAAAACCAGTACTAAAGAGATTGGATACTATTGACCTTCCCACTACCACTCCCCAAACTCCTGGAGTTCCCATACAATACCGAGAACTTCAGGAGGTGTTTAACAAGGCTCAATCCGATGTATTGCCTCCCCACAGAGCATATGACTGTGCCATTAACCTGTTTCCAGGCGCTATGCCACCTAAGGGGGCAGTTTATGCCTTATCTCCCCAGGAGAGTAAAATAATGGAGGAATACATCAAAGAATCCTTGAGCAAAGGGCACATAAGAAAGTCATCCTCACCAGCTGGTGCAGGATTCTTTTTTGTTGAGAAAAAGGGTGGTGAGTTACGCCCTTGCATAGACTACAGGGCACTTAATAAAATCACTGTAAAAATGCATACCCTATTCCACTCATTTCCGAATTGTTCGATAGACTTCAGGGAGCTAAAGTATTTACTAAGCTTGACCTTAGGAGCGCTTACAATTTGGTTAGAATTAAAGAGAATCATGAGTGGAAGACGGCATTTAATACCCGTAGTGGACACTATGAATATCTGGTAATGCCATTTGGGTTATGCAACGCCCCGGCCGTATTCCAAGACTTTATAAATGATGTACTCAGGGAATTCATTTACTCATTTGTCTTGGTTTATTTGGACGATATTTTGGTGTATTCCCCTGATCTTCAAACTCACCACTCCCATGTGAAACAGGTTCTGCAGACGTTGTTGAAAAATAAACTTTATTGTAAATTAGAAAAGTGCATATTTGACCAGCCTGAAGTCCACTTTTTGGGTTACAACATCTCTGCATCGGGATTTCAAATGGATCCTAAAAAACTAGAGGCTGTACTACACTGGCCATTACCCTCTGGTTTAAAAGCCATTCAAAGGTTTATTGGTTTTGCCAACTATTACAGAAGATTCATCAAGGGATTTTCTTCTGTAATAGCCCCAATCACAAATATGACTCGCAAAGGGGTTAGTAGCACGGTATGGTCCAAAGAGGCTGTGAATGCTTTTGAGACTCTTAAACAAAGATTTGCCTCTGCGGACATACTAAAACATCCTGACACTAGTAAACCTTTTATATTGGAGGTTGATGCATCCGAGACAGGGGTAGGGGCTGTTCTCTCTCAGAGAGAAAGCCAGGGAACACCATTGCATCCTTGTGGCTACTTCTCCAGAAAGATGTCTCCTGCTGAGCGCAACTATGATATTGGCAATAGAGAACTGTTGGCCATTATTCTTGCCCTCAAGGAGTGGCGACATCTTTTGGAGGGTTCCAAGGACCCCCTGTTGATCATAACCGACCACAAAAATCTGGCATATATAGGGGATGCCAAACGTTTGTCTTCCAGACAGGCTAGATGGTCACTGTTCCTTTCACGTTTTAACTTTCTCATTACTTATAGACCTGGTTCTAAAAATACCAAGGCTGATGCCTTGTCCAGGCAATTTGATAATGAGTCAGCTCCGGAACAGGATGACATCTCCTATTATTCCACCAGAGTGTATTATTGCTACTACTGTCCTCTCACTGTCTTCTCCACTGCTTGGCACCATACTGGAGGCCCAGCCTCAGGCGCCCAGTGGTAAACCGTGTGATAAACTGTTCGTTCCCCTATGTGAAAGGGTTAATATCATGAAAGTGTTCCATGACAATATAACTGCTGGACACCCGGGCATCAATAAGTCCACTGCCGCGATCACTAGATCATTTTGGTGGGATTCACTCAGGAAAGATGTAAAGGAGTATGTGCAGGCATGTTCTGTGTGTGCTGTTTCTAAGGTGACTCATGCACTTCCTTGTGGCCTGTTGCAGCCTCTTCCTGTTCCTGAGATTCCATGGTCCCACCTATCCATGGACTTTATTGTTGAGCTTCCTAGCTCTGCTGGGTTCACTACTATTCTCATGGTTGTAGACCGATTTTCTAAGATGGCTCACTTCATTCCTCTCAAGAAGTTGCCATCTTCGCAAGATTTGGTCCTAATTTTCATACGTGAAATTGTCCGTTTGCATGGCATCCCCCACAATATTGTGTCCGATAGGGGCTCTCAGTTTGTGTCCAGGTTCTGGAGGCGTTCAGTAAACAATTGGGGATTGATCTCTCCTTCTCCTCCTCCTACCATCCACAGACCAATGGTACAGCTGAGAGGGCTAACCAGTCATTAGAAGTTTATTTGCGTTGTTTTATTAATAGCACACAAAACAATTGGTCCGAACTACTCCCGTGGGCCGAGTTCGCTAGAAACAATGCTGTTCATGACTCCTCTGGGCACAGTCCATTTTTGTCAATAATGGTAGGCATCCTACGGTTCTCCCTGCGGTATTTTCTGATACTGCCATTCCTGCTCTGGATGAGCGTCTGGCCTCCATTCGGGATACCTGGGTTAAGGTTCAAACTGCTCTAGGGGCTGCTGCTGAACGCTTAAAACATTTTGCTGATAAGCGTAGGAGTGCCAACCCGGTGTACCAAGTGGGGGACCGGGTTTGGTTGTCATCTCGCAACATCAAGCTTAAGGTCCCTAGCATGAAGTTTGCCCCCAGATTCCTTGATCACTATAGAGTGCTTCGTAGGATCAATCCAGTGTCTTACTCTCTGGCTCTTCCTGCATCTTTAGGGATTCCCAACACTTTTCATGTGTCCTTACTCAAACCTCTTGTCTGCAATAGATATACTGTTCACCACCTTTGTGTTCCTCCCCTCGGTGGGTGGTGCGGGTGGTCGGGAAGGTATGGTATCCTATCGTGGATTCCTGGGTTTTCGCCGGTCGCTTTTGCAATGCGGTTGTTTGGAAGGGTTCGCGGTCCTTCGGGTTTCGGCTCGGCCCACCTGCATGCGGTCCGTGGATCCGGCGCTTTCGCGTAAATTTCCTCAGAGCTGGCGTTGTCTGGCCGATTGGGCGTTCTTCGGAGGTGAGGGGGTAATGTCGCGTATTCATCCGGCTTGCCTTAAGAAATAGCCGGTTAATGACGTTTTGCTGTCCCGGAAGTTGTGCCGAGCAGCAACCTAATCACAGAGCAGCAATTATACAAGTATTTTTCCTGGTAACTGACTTTGGGGTCAAAGGCCGGTTACAGCCTATCAGAACTAAAGGAGGGGTATTTAGGCCCAGTTCTCAGCCTGCTCAGTGCCCTGTCGTGGTTTCCCTTGTGGTTGTCCGAGAGCGCGTTCCTGTTTATAGTTTTCTGTTTATTGACTTCTCTATATTCTGGTATCCTGACTCCTGGCTTTCCTCATCGCTGTGTCCCTTTCAGTGTTCCCTGACCTCGGCTAGTATTTTTGACTATTCTTTGTACGTTAAACCCGGCCATTCTAAGGACCGGTTGTGCCGAGCAGCAACCTAATCCACAGAAGGGTTAATGCTGAGCAGTAATTGTGCAAATGAAACCTGGTGTCATGTATTCATCCGCTTATAGAAAAGTGGTTAATGACATTTACTGTCCACACAGGAAAAGTTGTGCCGAGCAGCAACCTAATCCACAGAAGGGTTAAT